ATAATTTTGACATTAAAATTATTAAATTATTATTAATAAATTAATATAAAAAATAATTTCATTAATAATATTTTGAAAATTTCAGTATTAAGACTGAATCTTTAAAATATAGTATAGATTAAAAAACATTTTTTTACTAATTTTTTTTGAGGATAATGGAATGGATTCATTACAAAGACCGCCATACGGCATCTACAAAGATAACAAATAGTAAAAACAACTGGAACAAAAGAACAGAGTAGACCCATATCCAGAGGCCTGAAGGGGGTGCACTCAGCACTCGAACAACCTCGAACGCCCCGGAAATACCACGGCCTTCGGTCGACCGATCCATATGGGACACCCTTCAATCTACCCTTGAAGAAATAGCACCAGGCTCCAGGATGCCGTGCGGTCACCCGATCTGGCGGCGGAAGACCCTCGAACCAGCAGGAGAGCCGCGGTGGGCGTCAGATCTGGAAGCCCTCGCGCCCGCCGCCTCAGATCCGCCAGAGGAGAAAGAAAGCCGCCGGATCTGCACCAAACAGAACAAAAAGGAAAACCCAACGAACCCCTACCAAGATCAACAGGAAAAAGCCGAGGTCGCCGGATCTGAAAAAAGAAACTGTACAAGAAACTAAAACTATACAAAACAACCAGAAAACAAAAAGAGCAAAAGGGGTCACCGGAAAGGGACCCATAAACCGACAGACCCCGAAGGGTCATCGGAGGATGGAGCACAGGCCGGCTCCAGCATGCTTGAGCGGCCGGGGATCCCCCAACGGCTCAAGCATCAAAACGTCGGAAGCTTAAAGGCTTCCGACCAAAAAAACCACCGCGCCGGAGAAGGTAGGCAAATGCAAGAGAGAAGGGAGAGAAAAGGGGAAAGAAGAAAGAGAATTTTATTTAGGGTACATTTTATTTTTTTACTAATTAGTTTACCTGATTACTAGTTTAGGAGTATATTTTTTTGTTTCTTCCTCTCATTTTTTCGTTTCCCATAGCCAAACAGGCTTTAGTAGTATTTTTTTAGTATATAAAATGATAAATTATATGATAAAAAATAATTATTTTCTCTTTTAATTTGTTTTTTTAATTCATTCTACTCGTTTCAAAATTTAATTTTAAATTTAAAATTTTAATTCCTCATCCACCCAATTTAAGTCTGTTTTTTTCTTGTTTGGCCAACAATTCGGTTCGGTTTGGTTTACTGTTTAATCAGTTTCCAGCACAGCCCTGGTCCTGCATGTGAAGAAACGTGTTGAAAACAAAGGAGGCCATGCGTCCGTACTGCCCCGGACAATTATGGAGCTTCCTCTTTTTCTGGAAGGCTAAACTAAAAAACCGCCATGCCGACACAAATTAACCTTTGAAATTCAATCTTTTCAAAGTCTGTTTCAAGCAAAGCTACCAAAAGCCAAAGTTTCCAAGTTTCAATCTCGACTTTTTTCAAGTTTCCCTTAGTTTCTCTTCCATTTCCAGCCCTCTTAAATAAAGCCTCGCTACATTTATCTTCCTTTACCTGTGATTCCTTCACTCTGACTCTTACTACTTGTTTTTCATTGTACAGATTCTATTTTTGGGTGCTTAATTTGGAGGTCCAATTTGTTCTATAAAAGAAGGAGAAGAAGAAGAAGAAGAAGAAGAAGAAGAAGAAGAAGATGGGTAGTTCGAGTACTAGTGTTACTCCCATGCTCCCTTCAAACCCAAAATCCTATGTTTTTGAGCAGCACAGATCTCTCTTTCTCTCCAGAAGAAGATCCAAGAAAAAGAGTCGAGCTATTGTTCCTGTAAATTTCTTTTCCTTTTTTTGTCCCCTTGAAATTTAATCAAAAGTTTCAAAGTATTTTAGTTCATGTTGATTAATTTATGGGTTTGGTGGGATCTGCAGGTGGCAAGAGTGTTTGAACCAGCAATTTTTGAGGCATCAAAGTTGAAAGTTCTGTTTTTGGGAGTGGATGAGAAGAAGCATCCAGGGAACCTGCCAAGAACTTATACTCTCACACATAGTGATATTACCTCCAAGCTTACTTTGGCCATATCACAAACCATAAATAACTCTCAGGTACTTACTTTGCTAAATATGTTTTCTTCTTCTTCTTTTTTTTTTTTTAAGGGAAAATTTCTATCTCCTTACTCCATCTTGAAAAGAAAACAGGGCGAACAGAGAAAAGCAGGGGTCTTGCTTCTTTTTCTATTATCATGTGTTAGATTCTAGTATTTTTTATGTGGAAACTGAGGAAGAAGAGAAAGTTGGGTTTGATTGCAGTTGCAGGGATGGCACAACAAATTATACAGAGACGAGGTGGTGGCAGAATGGAAGAAGGTTAAGGGGATGATGTCTTTGCATGTTCACTGTCACATAAGTGGAGAACATTTTCTCTTGGATTGGCTTGCAAGATTCAGATATTTCATCTTCTGCAAAGAACTCCCCGTGGTAACTTTAATCTCTGTCAATTATTTTTCTGATTTATGTTTTTTTTTTTTATGAAATTTTTTTTTTCTGTTAATTCTTCTTCTAAAGTCAATATTTTTCATGAATTAGGTGTTGATGGCCTTTGTTCATGGAGATGGCAATTTGCTCAAAAACTACCCAGAGTTACTGGAAGCTCTGGTTTGGGTGTACTTCCATTCCAAAATTCCAGAATTTAATAAGGTAGAGTGCTGGGGCCCTCTCAAAGAAGCTGCTGCCCCTTCTGGTGCGGCCACAAGAGAAGGAAAGCAAGCTTTGCAATTAACCAACTGGGAATTGCCTGTGCCATGCCAAGAGGACTGTACCTGTTGTTTTCCACCTATGAGCCTGATTCCATGGTCACAGAAGGTTGCCAGGGATAGAGGCAGGATCTAGGATGAGGGGCTAAATTTATGGACACTTAAATTAAATTTTGCATTTATGTAATTTTTATCT